TCAGAAAACTTTTCATCACAACTCACTCATAAAATCAAAAGGATGGACTAAATAAAAAGACTGAGTGCCATAGTTTTCTGCAACTTCAGATTAGTACTCTCATATTAGGGGTTGGTCAGCAATCCCTGTTATTATTATAATTTAGATTAAATGAAATTGGAGGAGCGCCATCATTTTTAGAAATGGATCCTTAATTCGAGCAATTGATCATAATTTTTAAGAAATCTACTATTATGGGACACACACACACACAGATCACATTCTGAGATTTCCTTTTTCTTTGTGCCTTTCTTCCTTTCTTTGTTTATTTCAGGCGTGGAGCTTATTTTTTACAACTTTATGTGCATACGATCGATAATAACAAAACCACAAAAGAACACCCAACAAGTTCTAGTGTTCTATAAATAATTTCCCATTTTATAGAGAGGCAGGATTGATATTGGCATATTGCAGCCATTTTTTTTTTTTCATGCAACAATTTTATGCATTACATTTATCCTATTAATTTTTTGTTTATATAGAAACAGATAACGAATTCAAACATATTTCATGATTCAAATTAAACTGCACAATGGATAGCTACTTACAGAGAGAATTATCAAATGAATGTGAAAGAACTTACACTCAGCAGCAGCAAGTGCCTTTACTTGATTCTTCATAGATGGGTTTTGATGGTCTAAAACAATAGCTCTGTATCAGGTAAAAGTAGGGAATTAGTTCAATTAGAGAAATCGAAGGGCTAATTGCATTGGAGCCCTCAAACAGTGCTGGTTAATACAATCACCAGAATGTATGGACTATATCAATCAAACCCCAATGCAGGATATATAACTCGAACACATACGAAAGAGGTTCAGCTAACAATCCTACCGATAGGTGATTACAATGAAATTGCATAAATATTTGATAAAACTGGATACCAGCATACTAAGTAGATTTTTACTAGTTTTACTTTCCGGATCTTCAACCATCAGATTAATCAAATAGGGGTAACACTATCCCAGCAAACTTTTGTCTAACTCCTAAACACAAATATTATACATATATATATAGAGAGAGAGAGAGAGACATATATATAAGGTCAATATGTAAAGGAGGTGAACAGTGAAATCAACCTTTGAAGGGTCAACTTTCACAGTTGAGCATAGTTCAGCAGAAAAATTAGATCAACACTAATAAAAAAACACGTCAGCTATATCCCAAAGTACAAAAGTCACCCTAATCATCCCAAACACACAGCTGCAAGAATACATAAAACATAAAGCATAGGCAAAAAGGACAGAAAAAGGAGACACAAGGAGTCAAGAACATAAGAGAGAAACAAAACCCAAGCAAATACAAAATAAAGAAAATTTTAAGTTTTTAGACCTCCAAATATCATTGTCAAAATAAAATCATGAATTTTTAAGGATAATAATCCCCAATAAGTTCATCTAATCATCTTAATTAGCATCCTACAGAGATCTCATTGTAAGTTTTAATCTCACACAAATACAAGTTTCTATTAAAAAAAATCCTTCTAAGTCTCTTGCTCTATTTGCAAAGAACAAATGATGTAAGACAGCAGCAATAAATTAGAAAGCACGAATCTTCAGGAAAAAAAGCATACTTTCGTGATTTATGCTTGCGCTCAGCTTCTTCTGACCGCCTTTTAACATGATTTTTAGTTGATTCATCTAATTCTCGCTCTACATTCAGCTTACGCCAAGTGCCTCCTGATTCTACAAGCAATCCATTTCCATCTTCACCACTTTGACGTTCTTCATAGATGTCACACAAGTCTCCTGGTTCCCTCGACCATGTGAATCTGAAAATTTTATCTCCAACATGAATAACCTGATGAAAAGGGAAAATAATAAAATGTCAGTATATAAGCTAGATAACAAGTTTCTAAAGTGACATCAAACTGAAAGAAGTAAAAGCAAAGCACACAGTTTCAAGATTCTACCGCCTATCATGTAGAAAACTTGTATATGATTGACTAAGATGCCAGCCCCAAGGACAAAAGCCCCATAGGGGAAGAAAACCTTTGAAAGAAACAAGATCACTTCTCTGATTTTGAGAAAGGGCAAGGAAAGACAGCGAGGATGACCAAATAACCACTGGATGAAAATTACATGAAAATGTACTATGGACAACAATGAGATTTGCTAAAGTCGAGACATATTAGCCATGTACTAGACTACCTCTCCAGGTAAATGGCAAAGAAAATTTATGATTTATAGAATTTCTTGACAGAAGTCATCATAATACAAAAGGAAAACACGTCTAAGAGCAGAAGGTGCCAGCACTAGTTGAAATCTTGGGGTTAAAGCAAAAAAGAACATAAGCACCTTAACAAGAACATTCAAACAATATTCATCACTACCGTGGAATCCAAAAATATAAAATGATGAAGGAGTGTTGACAGTTGAATATTTTATCCTTTCTAGGACGATTATCCAGGGTTGTCGGATGGTGTTTATCACACGTCCAGTTAGATTTATGATCTATCAAAGATTATGCCTAAATCTTTGCAATCAATCTATTTCAAATTGCGATCTCCAATGGCCTAAGGAACATCGTTACAAAAAATAGAGGATTGCACTGCATGTAGGCTTCATCAATTATTAGGACCACAATCAGTTCGAGCACATTTTCTTTCATCAGGAGATCAACTGAACTTTATTCTACTACGAACTCTCACCTAACTGCTCTGTCAATTCTCCGTGCTCTACCCACCATTTAGATCATTCTAAATATACATGGAGCCAATTCTTATGCCAATCCGTAATAAATCAATCTACATGTTGCAAGATTGAGATACAAGCATTATGAACCAATATCACATCTCCTACAAAATAGAACAACTCACTATATAAACTATATCCAACTTCAATTTTATTTGGCTAAAGCCTAGTTCAGGTTTCAAGGCTGGCAGTGAGCAGCAGAAGGCAAAAGTCCTATGTTATATGGAGCAAGATAATAGAAAAGAGCTCAAACTTCCACGGAAATTCAAAAAACTCAGTTTAACCCCAATTCCACTTCATCAAGACAATAAACCACAACAGGAATTCAAAGATTCAATCAAGCAGTCAGGCAATCGGAATTCAATAGGCTCACATTTCCATTAGGATTATTGGCGTTCACGTCGAACTTGATGCGCGCCCCACCGCCCTGTGCCTCCACGCGCTTGATCTCCTCCACCAGGTCAGGCGCCAGCTTTATCGCCATCCCGAAATTCAAAGGATTCTCCCTGACAAGGCTGAAACTCTCCTCAACCTCCATTGACGAGGCAGACGGGGATGATATTGCCGCCGGCGGTGCCCCGACGCGGCCCCGAGGGCCGCTGCCCATGGACGGACGGCCGACGCGGCCGATTGGCGGCGCGTGATTGCTCCTTTTCACGGCGCCTACCCCGCCGCCGCCCCGGCCCATCTTTCCAGGACCCCCGAACATTGGTTGCGGGTAAGGGTCGGGTACCAACGTTTTCTTCTGGAACCGAGTGAAGAAATTTACCAGTATCAGAAAGACAATGGACTCGGAGGAGAGCCGACAAACACAAGTTGAATTTGGGTTTTCCTAAATGGATTTGTCATATGTCATTCTTATGTTAATTACCTAATTGAACTTAATAATCATNAATCATCATAGTTAAAACACAATTTCCTTACCCACTATTTTTCTACCACATAAGTGAACAACTACAATTTGGGAAAATTTCAAAAAAAATAGTATCAAAATATATATATGAGTATTCTCATTTGATCAATAATAGTTTTGTAACTTTTAAAATTGATTAAAATAAAAATATTTTTTATTTAAATTCCACATAACACGTTAACTAATGGAGTGAATGGATATGGATTTGATTGGTTTTTTTTGTTAATTATAGTTAATTTTAAAAAGATGATATGGTTAGTTGTCAGTGAGAGTTTAAATTTAAATTAAAATAATATTTAAAATATAATAATTAAAATTGATTTGATGTAAAAGTATGATAAAAATTATTGGAAGTGATGGTTAATTAAAAATATGTGAGTGGATGAATAATGAATTAAAGTTGACGTAATGTATAATAATAATTAGTTGATATTATTTAATTGTACTGATAATATTGATGACAGTGAGGCTGAGTTAAAATTGAGTTAAATTTAAGTTTTAATTAATTTGTTTTTAAAGTTTATATACTATCACACCCTAACATGTCACACGTTGTCCTAGTTTTTAAGAAAATTCAAAAGCGATCTCATAACTATGCATGTGTTTTTAAATTAATTCTTGAAATATAGTTAGGGCCTGCTTGAATAGCATAGATATCATTATGGGATAAATTGATCGTTTTAATAATAATTGATACAACAAAAATACAATTTCTTTCAAATTCATTAAAATTCCGTGGACAATTATATCCACTCAAAACTGGTTTTTTTGTTAATTATAGTTGATTTTTAAAAAAATGTAGTATGGTTAATTGTTAGTAGAATTTTGAGTTTATATTAAAATAATAATTAAAATTGTCTTGATGTAAAAGTATGAGATAGATGATATGAAGTGATGGTTAGTTAAAATTATGTGAGTGGATGAATAGTGAATCAAAGTTGATGTGATCTGTAAGAAAGATTGATTAATACTATTAACTACAGTTTTGCTATGATGGGTAAGAACGATTGATTAAAATTATTTAATTATGTTGATAATATTGAAGATATTGGAGTTAAGTTATAATTTGAGTATGAATTGAGTTTTTTAATAAACAAACGCACCCTTAATCATTAGTCATCTTATAGGTTATAGAATTTACCAGTTTGATGATAATTTTGACAGGAAATAATGTTTTTTCAATAGGAAGTGACACATCATACAATAATCCTATGAGAAAAGTGGATGGAAGAAAGATGGTACAATTTTTTTTTTTTTCACCACACATGTATTTGTTTAAAAGTTTGAGTGACATTGTGAGACTTTTTAAGTTTTTTAAATTTAAAAAGAATCATTGAAATCTTAAAAGTTTGGAGTAGATATTTGAAGTGTGATTTTGTATATAGTTTTTCCTTTTGAAATCTAAGCAAATCTTGAAAAGTCTTAATAAATTTCAGTCTTAAATAAGTTAAATACCTCATGATTTTGTAAGACTTTTTAAAATCTCAAATGAATAACTCTACGCTTTTAAAAGTCTTAAAAAAATCTAAATTAAATACATCAAAATTTTAAAATCTTGCAAAGTCTTTATAAATCTCAAACGAATACACCCCTGGGAGTGTATGTAAATTATGTATATTAATATATATTTTCTTATTTAAAAATTATATTATAAAATGTGAGTTGATGAAAAATATTTTCAACTATATCTTTTATAGTGACACTAAAGAAAATGGTAAATAATAATTTCCACCTTGAACTATTCGCGTATTTGGGATTTGCTACTTGCACAAGTTTTTGTAATAAGTTGCAACCAGTAATGCACAAAACATCTATAACGCAACCTCCGGCCATCGGCAATTCAATTTATACCGACAAAGTGAGCGTGCGATACTGATGTAGAGAAGCGTACGAATGGGAAGGATAAACGAGATATTCTCTCGTAAAACACACAAAACTCACAATATCTGATTCAATCTCAAAATTCACCATCTCATAACAAAACAGAAGAGCCCCTTGAATAAGGCCCTCAAAATAAACCCTAGCTTATTCTCCAAGCTAACCACTAATAATAATAATAGTAATAATAATAATAATAATAATAATAATAGTAATAATAATAATAATAATAATAGTAATAATAATAATAATAATAATAATAATAGTAATAATAATAATAATACTAATAATAGTAATCATAATTATTCTACACCATTCTCCCCCGGTTGAGCAGGATTCGCCCTCGAATCTGACCCGTCCCCGTTGGAGACGTCCTCATGACAGGAATAGCCCGACGTTTCCCTTGATCGATCACGAAGATTTAATGTCGCTCACCACACTTTAATGTGAACGTCTGATCTCTGCAACTTTTCTCACGTAATTCAGTGATTTTGTGCTCTTGGTAGGTGGGACTAGTCTCCACCCTGGCCTTTGCCCAATCAACAGAGAAGGGATCTGTTACATTCTGATTAGCAACCAGAAAATCATCTACAGGCCCAGGCTGAATAATAATAGTCGTGGATACATTAATGTTCAAGCTGGAATGAAAACCTCGGCCTCCAAGAACTCTACCTCCAACATCAGCAAAGTTATGTGGGTCATTGTGGAAAAAGGAAGGACGAACAAGCAAACAACCCTGATTTGTCCCATGCTGCCTCAAAATGATATCTAAGACATGTATAGCCTCATGAGAATTTTCAGATTCCTAGCCTCGCCAAGCATATGTAATGGCTTGTATAGGAATCTTAGCTGCAAAATTGATTTCCACTTTGAATGTCTTGGATTGGTAAGGGCACCATATCCATTTTTTGTCACTCTCATTAGAGCTTTCGTGTCCTCCAAGGCTGGAATTTCCATTATTCTTACTAGACGTCACACTGTCAAGCACAAAGGTAAACTCAAGCTTGTTATGAGGTAGCAGGGTCACAGTGAATAAGCTTTTCTCACCATCATAGGCAAAATATTTTACATCCAATTCTTCCCCCGGCCCTTGAGGCTCCTCATCGAAAATCGGCGGACCATCGTACAATGGTCTGTCATGTTGCTCCCCATCTAAATCGGGGATGTCCACGCGAAACGGGCCCTCCCATTGACCATATTCGCAATCAAGTCCCCAATCGTGTCGGGCACGATATCCGCCGGCGAAAGTAGCCTCCTGGTGTGTGCCTTTATCGTCGCCTCGATCGTCGCCTTCCACGAAAACCTGGCCCCGTCACCACATGTCACGGCCGTCGTATGCAATGAAGGGGACAGCCTCGACGTGCGGAGGTTTTCACTCGCTGAAGGGATTAACCTCAGCGAGTGGCAACCTCCGAGATGGTATCCTCGCCGTCTTCATCGCCGGACGGTGGTTGTGGAGATCTCCGGCGGGACGCCCCGCCTGGATCACGGCCTCCACGTCCTCCGCGAATTCCCCTGCACATGCCCCGATTGCCGACGTCACGGTACGTTTGCTTGTCCAGAACCATGATACAAAAAGTTAGACGTATGTCCCCAATCTCCGCGGACAAATCTAAAATCTCACGACCCATCGTCTCGAGCCAACGGCTAAACCACTCGGTCCGACGCCTCAGGTTGTAGATGGCGGCGACACGTCTGTCGTTTGTAGCATCTTGTCGTCACGACAACATCGTGAATCGTGCTGACTTCTGATACCAACTGATGTAGGGAAGCTTACGAGTGGGACGATATTAATGAGATCACAATCTCAAGAATATCTAGATATCAAATCATCTTTTCATTCAATAATCAACCACCCTTCAAATAATAGATGTGGAGTCCTCTAAATAAGGCTCCCATAAACCCTATCCCTTGACTTGTCCACCAAGCCAAGATAAATAAAAACAATTATAATAATAATAATTAATACTAATGAGAATAATAATACTAATATTAATAATAGTAATCATAATTATTCTACACCAGATATGCATGTACCAAATTGGATAGCAAAAATGTCACATCTTATGTCTCAGGGACAATTTGAACATTTCTCTGGTCTATGCACACAATGTTCGTGATTTTTTCTGCAAATTGAAAGCCCTAAAATCCCAAATCGCCTTCATCAATTCGCCATAGTCCTAATTTTTTGTAACCATGTTTCCTATTTTGGGAAAAAGGGTCGACGATAAATGCGAAGTGAACTTCAGGGGCACCTCGAACAAGATTGTTACGGCCGGTTACCGGTCGAGTGTTTAGGGACAATCTAATAGGTTTGGGTTGTTGGTAGGCTCGAGCGTGTTTATTGGATAAATCTTCATTAAAACAGGGTTTGCAAAGAGTCGTTGTGATCGATTCTCGTGTTGGTAAGGTTTCTTTACTAACATTTTTGTTTTCCCGGGCAATGAGTTGTTATCGTTTGGTTGAAGCTTCAAAATTTCAAAATAAACGATTTTTTATTTTTTTTCCCCTTTTCAAAATCATCATTATTTTCGTACAAAATAGTGTTAATTTGGGAATTTTTAAGGTAATTTTCACCTTTGGGCTCTTATATGCAAGGTATGGAGTATGTGAAATTTGCACAGATGAACTCGATATTCTGTTAATTTGAATTTAGGTACATATTTTGCCTTAAATTGAATTCAGATGGAGCCCAATAGACGCAGATAAAATGGTATTTTTACCGGTATGTGCATCTCATACGTTCGCTTTTACTGTAGAAATTGGACCACCGATGATCGGAGGTTGCGACATCGATGTTTTGTGTATTGTAGGTTGCAACTTATTAGAAAAACTTGTACATGTTGCAAATCTCAACTAAGCGAATAGTACATATTGCAAATTATTACTTAGAAAAAAAATAGTAAATTATATAAAACCTCTATCGTTTTGGCAAAAAAAAAAAAAAATCCTCATTAACACCACTAAAGGCTACTAAAACCAAAATATGAGAAATACACTAAGAATATGTGACTATTGTATGTCGCGAGCACAAATGTGATATGAATAATGTGTACAAGTTTTGTCCTATTGTCTTATTTGAAATATTTTGAATTATCTCATATCTTTTCATCGGGGATATTTAAGAATATCCCTTGTGATNCATGTACATAGATGATGAGTGAGAAGATTGATAGACATTTAAATTTGAATGTCATGTACAAATTAAGAAGATTTTCATAAACTATAATAATATTTCATTTTAATATTATATATTATTGAATTTGAGCTTTATTATAATAAAATAAACTCGTCCATGCATGTACACATGTTAAAGAGTACTAGTTATGAATAGTTACAAATATTTAAATAGATAAATGGTAAATTATGTAGAAAATAATATATATTAACATTTATTTTCTTATTTATAAAATTATATTATAAAATGTGAGTTGGCGAACAAAGTAAAAATAGTAATTTGTTGTATTGAATGATATTGTAAACTCACTTCCAATTGCTCTCTTAAAAATAAAAAGCAATTATTTAAAAGCAATGACATCCAAACGAATATTATTTAGGAAAAACAATGGGATGAAGTGTAGAGATTGGATGTGGATGTCGTTTGGGATGATTTAAAAGGTCGTTTTGCTGTTCGAAGAATTATTTGAGACTCACAAGGGCAACCTAACGGGGTGTTTGGCCGATAAATGAAGCGCATTGAATCGGTGTTTAAACCTATCAAAGTTGAATGGCATCTCTAGAGTGAGTACTTCCAAATACCTTGGTCTCCCACTGGGACTAGGTAGATCAAAAAAAGACACTTTTCAATTTGTTACAGATTATGTGATTCAAAGGGTTACTAGTTGGAAAAATTGTTACCTCAGTGAAGCAGGGAGAGAAGTGTTAATCAAGTCAGTGTTGGAGGCTTTGCCTACATATGTCATGTCTTGTTTTAGGTTGCCTAGTGGTATTTGTGAGAATATATGCAGGGAGGTTTCTAGATTTTGGTGGGGCAAGAAGGCCAATGGGATGGGGAAAATCCACTGGTATAATTGGGAGCTTCTTTCTTGGTCTAAGGCCAAGGGTAGGATGGGTTTTAAAAATTTCAAGGCTTTTAATGAGGCTCTAATAGTTAAGCAGCTATGGAGACTTTTAACCAAGCCTAATTTATTAGTGAGTAGGGTCCTTAGAGGCAAGTATTTTTGGGGTAAGAATCTTTTTGAGGTTAAGCCTAGAAGTAGTGACTCCTGGCTTTGGAAGAGCTGGTTGGCTGCCAGAAAAACTCTTCAGTTGGGGGTTAGATACCAGGTAGGAGATGGGAAATCCATTAAAATCTGGGAATCCCCTTGGCTTCCCAACTTGCCCAACTTTAAACCTGTTAGTGTTTTTGAAGGGGACAGAACCAAACTCACCTGGGTTAGGGACCTGATGAACAGGGAGGGGAACCAGTGGGATGTTGATCTTATTTCTCAAACTTTTTCTCCTTATGTAGCCCAGCATATTTTAAATACTCACATAAGCAACTGTGGCATGAAGGATAGGTTAATCTGGCATTGGCACCCCAAAGGACTGCTCACTGTCAAGGGGGTTTATAACTCTATTCTAACTATGCAGGGTCCTCAGTCTGACATTCCAGGTCCTTCCTCTGGTCAGACCTGGCAGGAGCAAATGTGGAGAGCCACATGGCAGCTACCCATTGCAAATAAGCTAAAGTCCTTCCTATGGAGATGCTGACATGGCTTCCTAAGTACAAACAAGAATCTGCAGAGGAGAAGAGTAGATGTGGAGGTAACTTGCAGGCTTTGTGGGGAGCAGGAGGAAGACATCAACCACATATTCTTTAATTGCACCAGAGCCCAAATCTGCTGGAAGCTGCTAGGGATCCACTGGGATAACATATTTGACCCCTATAGTAATTTTCAATCTTGGTGGCAGAATGTCTGTGTCAAACAAGTGGAATGCCAGCTCCAGGACAGAATAAGTCTTTCCACCTACTTGCTATGGTGGCTGCGGAAGACTAGAAACACTTGGATGTTTGAAGGCAAATGGACAGAAGTAAGAATGGTGGTGGAGCTAGCTAAAAGAGACTGGCTGGATTTCTCAGCCTCATCCTTATCAGAGGAACAACCTCAAGCACAACTCCATCATTCCCCAAATATCCCTACTCAGTTGGAATTGGTCTCTGCTGGTTCAAGGGTAGGGCAGCTCTCATTTAGTGTCAGTGCCTCTTTAGCAAAGGACAGCTCAGTTGGAATTGGATGCTTTGGGATGGACATGGGCATCAATGAATTCTCCTGGTCAACATGCTTTTCTCATGCAGATTCTCAAGAAACAGCTAACCTCCTGACTACCAGATGGAGTCTAATGCAGCTATCTTCCCACCCTGAATATAGAAACAGATCACTCACATGCTACTTGGACTCCATCAAAACAATCAAACTACTCCAATCCCAAAGCACTCCTTCAACAGCTGCAGCCCCTGTCTTGTTTGATATAGTTTATCTGTTAAAACATTTTGTTTCTGTTGTTTTTGTTTTTAGTGTTTCTAATTGTGTAATGGCCTTGCAGCTTGCTAAAAAGGTCTTGAAGGGGGAGTCATGTCTTATTCCCTCGTATCTCTATTTTCCTAGCATTTGCGGTGTGTTAGAGTAGCAACCAGTTGGTTGATCGTGTACTTAACTTTTCCTTGAGTTTTAATGTTAATTGGTTTGATGTTTGAAAAAAAAAAAGAATCGGTGTTTAAACGAGAGTTACTTGCTATATTTGAAGGGCTTAAAATAACTAAATGGAGAAATTTATTATGTCAAGTGAAATGGAACCCATATGTCATATGTGTTGTACAAATAGTTACTAATATATTTAATTTTCATTTACTCTCAATTAAAATATAATTAGGTTTGGATAGTCATAAATATATTAGATATTTATGGTTTTTTTAAATGTATAAATTACATTACATTTTATATTCTAGATGTGATATATAAGGTATAATTTTTTTTTTCTCAATCTTTCCTTTTCATCATATTTCTTTGAAAATATGAAAAATTTACTAACTTTTATAAGTAGATTTAAATAAAATTTCATTTATTATCAAATTTGTATACATAATATATCAAATTAATTATGTCTTTTTGAGCTTCGATTTGACACCTGTATTGTACATACAAAATAAATAAACAATTGTATTTATTTTATAATAAAAATTAAAATACTTATAAATATTAATTAAAAAAATGAAATTATTTAAATCAAATTAACTACAAAGTGATTAAATGATATAATTTTAAAAAATATTATAATAAGTGAATAGTAATATATTATTCAAATTGAAAATGAAAATAACTTATTATTATTATTTTTAATTTTAAATATAATTTTTTTAACAAACATCCTTTTAAATATGTAATATACATGTATTGTACTAGTATTAGTTTAATACATTAAAATTTTAAAACTCCACCACTCCACCTAAGTTATAATACTTTTGTGACTTGCTTATATGACTTGCTAGTTGTAATAGATTAATTTATTTTCGTTAATNATATAATTTTATTATTTTAGTTAAGATTGTTAGATAATTAGTAGTGACTGATCAACCAGGTTAAAGAATTGGAAAAGTCTACAATTCTGTCACTGGAATGATTCCGTGAGAGTTTTTAGCCATCAGATATACACGTAACTTCTAAGTATTTTGTTTATTAAACAAATTTTGTTTATTAATGAAATCGAATAACACGTAAAAAAAAATTAAATAAAACTATCTAATTTATTTTCGCGTCCCCAAACAAACAATAAATATATTTCTCGGCCACACCTATATATATACACCCCAAGTGCCATTTGCCCTTCCGCGCAAGCTAAGAACAAGCACGACACAGTTGAGCTCCGAATTCTCCAGGTCGAAGATACTCGAAGGCAGCAGCTATGATGAAAGGTCAGATCATTTTTCATTTGTAATGTTAGTTTAAGGGCTTCGATTTGTTGTTGGAAGCTTTTTTTTCAGAGAGGCATCGATTTATCAAGAGATAAAGGCTTTTATCCGACACAGCTTCACCTTTTGTTTGGATTTCATTTCTTTTTTGGTCGCCCCTTTTAAAGTACTATATGCGTAGGTTTTTTTTTTATATTCGCACTTCTTTGATTTTCTTAGTGTTAATTTGGTGAAACTTTGTTGTCCTGATTATTTCTGGATTGAGAAGGGATGCGAGATTTGATTTTTACTTAGAGGCTCTGTTCTTTTCTCACCATAGAGGTTTTGAATTCGCTATTGTCTTTGAGTTGAAGAACAGTAGTTTGTTGCATTTGATTATATGGTTGGAGAAATGTAAACTATTGTTGACTGAGATTAACTGCTCTTGAAACACAGAAATTGTGAAAATGTGTCTCAAGTTGAAAGATGATAATTTATTCTCAATTTAGATGGTTATTTTGGCTGTCAATACAGTGGATGGTGGGGGTAGTGACAGAAGATGTTAGAACACTGTAGAGATTTGTTAACTTAAGATACAATCTAAGACGCTAAACAAATTTTCTATTTGAAAGAAGATGTAGACTATGAAGATCACTGACAGAACATAATGGGCAGGATAGGTCAAGCTACACCTACTGACCATGTTGTATTCTAGACTTCTAGTTATGTGTTGACAGGATGGATTAACCATCAGGTGGACTTTATTATATCAATTTTAACTGAATTCATTTTTCCTTGTTATTTTGTTTAGTTGTTCTTAGATTGTGAATGATGTCTGCATATGAACCTGTGTACATGTTTTGTAAACTTTCAGTTAGTGTTAAGTGGCAAAAGGAGTTGTTTTCCGATGTGGAAATAGACACTACCCAACCCCCATACGTTTTCAAATGCCAGCTCTTCGACTTAACTGGAGTTGCACCTGAAAGACAGAAGATTATGGTCAAAGGTGGTTTACTAAAGGTACAAGAGTTTTATTATTTATAAGATATGACAATATGTTGACATGCGTGGTTTTTTTTTTTTGGTTATCATTTGAAATTTAAAAGATCTGCTCTATTCATTTCTGCAAATTTTTGATAATTTATGTAGAGACAGAAATGATTTAAATTTTAATGCATTGTTGTTTGACCATATAGGATGATGCGGATTGGTCAAAAGTAGGAGTGAAGGAGGTAATACAAATTTTTCATCGTATGAGACTAGTTATACTGCAGTTCACTTGGAATTTGTTTTCAGTGTTGTATGTTTCTTTTGTTTGGTTCAGGGCCAGAAATTAATGATGATGGGAACTGCAGATGAAATTGTGAAGGCCCCAGAAAAGGGGCCCATTTTTGTGGAAGACATGCCCGAAGAAGAACAAGTGGTTTCTTTGGTGAGTTTATGTTTCTGTGAGTTATTGGAACAGTATGCGGGATTGCTAGTTCCTAGTAGAATTATCTGTACATTTAAATATCTCACTATAAATTGTTCCATGAGTTCATTCTGGACAATATGGGAAAAAAAGTTACCGTTGAGTTTATTTGTCTGCATTTCTAGGGACTTATATAGGTCAAAGATTGATATTTCTGTAAAATCTGTGGACTGAATTATCCTTGCTACAGCTTATCAATGATAAATATTCTGATGGCTTTGCATACACAGTCGTTAAAGGCAATGGCGAGCCGTAGCGATTTGATCAAGTCCTGGTCTCGAGGCGTGAAGCGAGGTCATGGCACGACCTCGTGAACATGCCATGCCACCAGAGTTAGGAAAAAACAAAAGAAAATAAATTATATAATACATATTTAAGTGCAGATTGCACAATCATTGTCAAATATCCCAATCACACAGTACAAGTCATTATTATTTCACTAACAAAAAAGATATTGAAACATGAGTCAACATCTAAAAAGGTTACAAAAGAAGGAGAATAAAGACAATTACAAGTGTCTTGAGATTTAAGTTTAAAACAAGCCTTGGTGGCTGGATAAGAGCTGGTTAGGCCTGTAATAGCTTAATTTGCAATGAGTGACTACCTTCTTTGAGTAATTATTGTTTTCTCCCTTAACCTAAACTCTAGTTTTTTGTGTCCTCTGCGGTGGGGTGTGCATATAAGGTGGGAGAGGCAGATTTTACTTTATAAAACATCTTAAAAGTTTTAAAGAGTAACATAGCACTATTTATAATTGTGTACTTAAGTTTCGATGGCTTGGTTGGCTGAAGCATTCCCTGTGGGTGCTTGCGGTAATGCAAGAAGCGCCCACTTCAGCAACTTGTGGCCCCCTGTTTTCTGGCAAGGCGATTTCCAATGGCCTCTGCCGAGGCGGGCCACGGCGTAGCCATTTATAACTATGTTTGCACATTCTCAAAGTATTTCCCTTTTTTTTTTTTTTTTTTTCTTCTTCTTTCTTTCTTTTTTGTCTGGTATTTGAAACTGTTGACATGCATCCTGTGTTTTCCTATACTAGTGATTGACTGGTCTGGATATGCTGTTAACTGTTAACAGGGCCACTCTGCTGGTTTAATGAATCTGGGGAACACCTGTTATATGAACTCCACTGTACAATGTTTGCATTCTGTCCCAGAATTGAAATCTGCTTTGCTACAGTGAGTTTTATCTTTCACTGGAAATACTTTACCTATATAGTTTATTTGCGCTAGTAAGATTTCTTGTTTTGTTGTTATAGGTATCCTCCTCCAGTTAGAAGCAACTCTGTGGATCAATTTTCGCATGCATTGACTGTTGCAACGCGGGAATTATTTAACGATCTTGATAAAAATGTCAAGCCTGTGGCTCCAATGCGATTTTTAACGGTATGCAGGTTTTGCTTTAGTTTTGCCAATTATGATTTATGGTTTAAATGTTTTCATTAGGTCTACTTGCATATATAAAAGGAATCGGAGGGCTTAAAGAGCATCATGTGGTTCCATCCAATGTTTTCTCTCGTGCTGGAAATCAGTGAGATAAACATAAATGTTAATAACAATTTTTTGTAGTTTATATGAATATTAACAATTTTAACTGTCCTTAGGGTCTAATGGAAAAATGTTCCGTTGTTGACAGATTTAAGACTCACATCCTTCGCAAAGTGTCATGGTGCTCTAACCAATGTTGTGTGATGATTTAAATTTTTATTTTCTGGGATTCGTCATGTGCAGTGGATATTAGTTTTGATAAGGGAGGTTTTCAAGCGCAGTGTGTAATATGGTTATTTTTGTGGCAGGGTGTTTTTCTATATTCTTACTTTCTTGGTGATAGGTTGTTTGGACCTTTAGGATTCTATTACTTACTCTGCATGAATCCAACAAAAAGGAGAAACCAGTATCTGTTTGTTGTGTAGTTTGAGCATCTTTCACGTACTTAACTGTATGTGGGGAAGGGAAGAGAGTGGTGGGTTGATGCATATTATTAGGTATGGAATTTCTGTTGGGAATTCAACTTAGAGTAGCTGGATTTTCAATAATAATACGGCCTAGCACCTGTTTCATGCTGTAAGAACCAGTAATGATTTCTTAGACTGCTTGAAGTCCTTATTTGTAAAGAAATAAAGCTGGTTGTAGCAAATGCATTTTTTAAGTGCTGCAAGTGTGGCATCGAACAATCAAATGCATGTTTTAGCACCTTACCTTTTGGTAGTTAGATGTTGTAATCAGAAATTTTACTCAGTCTCAGCGAGTATCTTTCTTGATTAATTTGTTTCCAATTTTAGGCCCTGCGGAACAAGTATCCTCAGTTTGCGCAGCTTCACAACGGAATTTACATGCAGCAGGTAGATTTCAACTGAACTCATATTTTAAGATTTTCCCCATAAGTTTTCTAATACTGAAGTACATTTGTTGCTAGGATGCTGAAGAGTGTTGGACTCAACTTTTATTCACGCTTTCATTATCCCTGAAACATCCCAGGTGGCACTCTTCTTCTCATAGCTGGACCATGTTTTGTTCGTATTCCTGTCACATTGTGTCCTGTCTCACGCAGATATTCATTTTTTATTTTTGTCATTTTATCATATAGCTGCAATTAAGTTTCCATTCCCATATTATAACCAGAACGCACTTTCCATATGGTTTATTTTGCAGTGAAGGAGATGATGCAGTTAAAAGGCTTTTCGGCATCGATCTAGTTAGCAGGTTACTAAGTTTGTCATTATGCTCCATTTTACTCTGAATATTTTGGCTATGAGTATTATATTAAATTGATGCTATTTATGTTGTTGAGTGATCTCGACATACCTTTTTTTGGCATTGTGTAGGTAGTCACGTCTTTTTATCTACTTGGATAACCCTTTACAAACTTGGTCTCCAATTACCGTGCGTTTTACTTGATCTTGACTGGAAGAATAGAATAAATATTACCCTATTAGAATTGTCAGGAAATAAAACAATTCAATAATCATAACTCTGAATAGTGCCTGTAACTTGAAAGGAGCTTGTAACAATGAGTTAGGAATACTGAAACTAATTATCAATGTTTACTGTTCAGCACAGCACTAATATCTGAAATCAGCATTTTACGAAGATCTATCCAAATAGCAACCCTAGCATAGTTTGAACTTTAACCTATCCGAAGCTCACTACAATTATCTGGGTCTCGCTGCTTCTACTACTAGTTATCGAATAGGGAAGACATCCTTATTTGTAAGTGAAAAATTTAGCAGCTTTTAAGGTCTCAAACACTAGGTTGTGACTAAGTTGTAACATCACAAGCAAACTGATGCCCAAAACTGCTAACACTCAGCTAACCGGTTCTGAAATGCATCCTTACTGTCCTAGAACGTGCAGGGAATGTGCAGTAAGTATCAACATGGTGCGAATTTAAATCAGGCTATATAAACTGACAACCAATTAAGGAATCAGTAAGATCATACAATTGTGGGCTATGTACTTAGAATTATTTTTACAATAAATCCAGTCTTTGGACTTTTGAAGCTCCATGAATGTGCCTAGTCCCTAGTCATTTCTAGTTTTAAAGTTATATGTCTGGTGCATGTACTGACCATCTTTAATTTGATTTTTGTTGTTATTAACTATTGTGGCTAGAGTCCATTGTGCTGAAAGTGGTGAAGAAAGTACAGAAACAGAATCAGTATATTCACTCAAATGCCATATTTCACAAGAGGTGAATCATCTACATGAAGGCTTAAAACATGTAAGTGTTATGTACCGATTTTCCGTGTTACATTGTGCTATGGTAGTTTGTATTCCCTTAATTGTCACTTTATCTTGAAATTCCTGTTAACATGGAATTTGAGCTTGCTATGCACTGCAAATTCCTTTTCTTGAGTCACCACATTTTATCTTGTGGTAACCGTACTATTTCAGTCGTATAAAAGAAATCACCTGGACAAATATTTTAATGAATACACATATAGTGATGATTAAAATGAGGAGATAATTTTTGTTAGCGGATGGTTGAAAGTGTAACATTTAAGAACATGTATGCTCACTGGGGATATAATGCCTGAAACTATTACCGTATATCAAGCGCTAAACATGTAGGAACTGGAACTACTTTGACTTGAGAAGATTGCTGGTAAAACTAGTAATGACACAGCAGATTTTTATTAGAATCGTATAAAAGAAATCACCTGACAAATATTTCGATGAATACAACTATAGTGATGAATCAAATGAGGAGATAATTTTTGTTAGCGGATGGTAGAAAGTGTAACATTTAAGAACATGTATGCTCACTGGGGATATAATACCTGAAACTATTACTGTATATCAAGCGCTAAACATGTAGGAACTGGAACTACTTTGACCGAAACTATTACACAGCAGATTTTTTATTAGATAAGCTGCTCTATATATTTTACAAACTCAAAAATTTGTTAGATGAAATATGAAAATTCAGATCTTAGCATTATGGTCAATCTTATCATTAATGCTTTGATAACTGGTATTTGACCAATAGAGTCCTTGTGAAAATGTGGAGTAGCCTACAAATTAAACCTTTTTCTTTAGTTGCATAAATCATGTAAAGGAAGAGTAAATTTATTTTTATTTTTTATATTTCCAGGGTTTAAAATCTGAACTGGAGAAGTCTTCTCCTGCCCTTGGACGCAGTGCTGTTTACTCAAAAGATTCTCGCATAAATGACTTGCCAAGGTATTCTGGACTTGCTAAAATGCTCTGATATTTCTGGTCTGTTCTCCTAATCTCCTTGCATTCGTGTGTTTGCATGTTGTCATCTCTGTCTTGCTGAGACTTCAGAGACATCTTATTATCTTTCCTCTGTGAAGATTTTGCATTTAGGATGGACTAATCTTTTGCTCCAAATTACAGGTACTTGACTATTCAATTTGTGCGCTTTTTCTGGAAAAGAGAAACAAATCAGAAGGCAAAAATTTTGCGGGTAACTTGTTTCTTTATTTTGTATGTTTATTTTCAACTAGGAATATAATGGTTCGAAGAAGAAAATTCCAAAGAATAAAATGTGTTATTTAGTTTGGTGTATAAACTTCTCTCTTCCCTTTGTAATAGGGACTTCTCTTGTAAATACAAATATCTTCATTTATACGAACAGTTTCGAAGGAATCACAAACATCTTGACTAGAAGAACTTTTTTGTTTAATTCACATTAATGTCAATGTTTATGCAACTTGACTGAAATCAATTCATATATGTTGGAGATTAGTTGATTTCTGCAGTCAGGAGTAAAAATGTGGAATCACCTACACTTATCCGCTTTTACTTTTCCCATGGAAGCATTGCAAGCAATTGAGAATATTTTCTTTGAGATGATTCAGACTCAAAAAATTTCATCCTGCTCCAATTCAAATTCCAGTATTAATGGATTGGTGCAGACCAGTACTGGGAATGCAGAACTAATTTGCAGAACACATTTACAATTAGAGCGAATTATTTAAATTGTAAATGATCCTAAAAGGTCTGAGTTGTTGGTGCGATACTTAATTCATGAGCAAGATGCTATTGATTCTTTATGTTGGCTCATATGAATTAATCATCTGCCAATGATGTGTTCCCATTTGTCCCGCAGAAAGTGGACTATCCATTGGAGTTAGATGTATATGATCTTTGTTCAGATGAACTTCGCCAGAAACTCGAAGTCCCTCGACGGGTATGAGCTTTTCTGCATCTTCTTCGATTAAGCTCAAACTTCAGTATTTGTTCATACCAGGCTTATCTCAAATTTCCTTTTCTTCTTTATTTTTTGTAGGGTTATTTTAGTATAAATACTTCGATTAAACTCGACCTGCAAGATGTGTTCATACTTGAGTTTTCTTTAATTCTGTTTTCTTTTCTGGGTTTATTTTCATTTTAAATACCCATGTGTAGATCCTAAGAGATGAAGAAGGAAAGAAGCTTGGCCTGAAAACAAACGAAAAAGGTTCAACTTCTACGGACAATGATGTCAAGATGACTGATGCTGAGGTGGGTTTATTTGATCTTAGTGGTGATAAACATCCTATGGGATAAAAGAGACAAGCTATTATCGCGGTTCAATTCGCTTGAGTAGGATCTTCATTGAGCTTGTATAACTTCGTTTTTTTTTTGTGCAGGGCTCTTCAAATGGCAGTGAAGTTGATGCAAAATCTGCACCCGGAGAAGGTAGTCACCCTTCAAGAGATTTAGTTTTTTTTCTTTTTTAAAAAAAACTCTGTAATGAATCTCGTAAGCACTGTGAACAAAATGAACCCATCGGTTCTCTTAAAGCTTCTACTCGAGTAGTGCCTATACCATTACCTTCTTAAAATTGTTCTGATTGTAAATGAATGGCAATAAAGAATTAACTGAATTAGTTACTCATAAGCGAATAATTGCTGCAGAAACTGTAAGTAGTTGAGAACCAGAGCTTTTTGTAAAAACTTCAATTGAGAGAGTTAACTGAATTAGTTACACATTGCTTAGTTGTCTATAGAAGAATCTGTTCTGCTGCTGCATTTATGTTCGGATTAAATTGAGCAGAAGCAAATGTTGACATCAAAAAACTTTTTTTTTNAAAAAACTTTTTTTTTTTTTTTTTTTTACCTTATTTGATCAGACTTGGATTTATTCCCGTTGATAGTCTTAACGTGTTCTTGTTTATATCCTTTTATTTCAGGTACAACTGTGGAGAAAGAGAAGCACCTGACAGGGGTGTATGATTTGGTTGCTGTGCTCACTCACAAGGGTAGAAGTGCTGATTCTGGGCATTATGTTGCCTGGGTTAAGCAAGAAAACGGTTACGTGTCCAAAATTAACTATTTCACTTTATATATTATTGCATTCGTCAGATTTATGTTCTTCTAAAAACTTTCGTGTGTGCTTCGCAGGAAAATGGGTTGAATTTGATGATGATAATCCGATTCCTCAACGGGAGGAAAATATTACTAAGCTCTCAGGAGGAGGTAAGGAGTTTTTCCTACTAGTTGACTCTTTTGTTACGTGAAATAAATTATTACACGAAGTACCACTGAAAACAAATACGAAAAGGGTATATGTCACTTCGTAAAATAGCCGATGTTTTTCAAACCTCATCTTTATCGAAAAAAAAAATAAATATATTAAATACGACACGAATCGAGTGTGGAGGCCTTATGTAGATTTGTTAATGAGATAAGCTACTTATATTATTTCAGGTGACTGGCACATGGCTTATATTTGCATGTACAAGGCTCGTGATGTCTCCATGTAGTGGTTTGTGCTTGAAATTGATGAACTCATTTTGTTGTTCGCATTGGACATATTCACCGCCTTTACATTTTTAACAAGACAGATAAAAGTTTCTGTACTTCACAACAGCTGTTCGCTCAGTTGTTAGATGTTAAATTATTCTGCTGAGCCGTGCCTTTTTCGACAAACTGTGTGTAAACTTCCATTTACGTTCAGTCTTTAGTAGAATTTATGACGGGATTTATCCTATAAGGTTCAGTCTAATATTTTCTTGTTACCCTTTTTCTTCTTTTTTGTCTTACATAAAAAGTGTGGGATTAGAGACTATGAAGATGAAGCCCCGATATGTGTATAGATAGTAAGAACCATGTTTATGTATTATTTGCCTCATGAGCATTGACCACTTTTCATTACAACCTTAACACGTAGATGTCCTAGGACATATCAAAGCCCCAGCTGAACTTGTCAAAGCCCTAACTATTCTCCCGTCGGCCACTTCGAAATTTTGGTCCGGACGGTAGTTCGGCCTCATTGTCACACCTTTATCGACCGACTCCTTAAATGAGGCTCCATTTTCAAAGACGTCGTTTATTGATTTGAACCTGCCGTTTGCACTGCTGTCCCATGTAATCTGCCCACGCCACATAATAGTGAATGAGGAAATAATTATTTATACCCGATCTGAAAATGAATATGTTTTTCACACCACTGGAAAAAAAATTGACTTTTTCACTCCAGAAAAGGCGAAAGCATTGTGCGGTAATTATGTGACAATTGTGCGAAAGTTACAAATTCGAAGGCATTCGCATAACAATTTGCACTTTATAATGTGAATATACGACATTTATGTAACTGATATGCAATAGTTATGCGGCTGATATGTGGAAGTTATGCGATCCATTCGAGTAACCTTCGCATTTTTGGGGTGAAGAAGTTAGATTGTTATGTAGTGGGGTGAAAAACTTAATGTAATCTTAGGTCGAGATGTAAAGAAATTTGTCTTTAGTGAAATGTCCTTTATACTTTCATTAAGCCAATTAGTCCTTAATCTGTGTTTGCTTAAGTTAGATTTTCAACTACCTCTTTATTGTCTCCTTGTGGTGCTATGAAGAGATTTGCTTGGCTCTTGATGCTAGGGTTCATGCTCCCTCCAAGGGCGTATTGTCCCCATCCGAGGTACAAATTGTTGACAACGTGGGCGTATCCGAATCGAATCCTGCAAAATTATCTGTCAAAACCCAAATTTTACTATAAAAGGTAAGTTTTTTGTCTACTCTCTCTCTCTCTCTCTCTTACCTTGGCATTCTTTGTATGCAATGCGGGCCGAAATGGTTGAAGGCTACCGTGACCCGCATCTTCGTGTCCCACATGAACCCATCATCGTGGCCCAATAGCATGACCTTGTCCTGGAGCTTGAACCGGTTGTTCGTGATCGTGATTTCCGTGGACCCACGTGTGACGTCAATCAACCCATCCTGACAGTCAGACAACGTGTTGTGGTCGATCCACACCCTTGTTGACGTCAGCATCCGGATTGCATCCCCATCAACGGGCCCGAGGTTCACGACTCGCCTATTCGGGCCCATCACCGGGCCAGGCCCCTGCGCCATGCAGTTGTGGATCCGGAGCCCGTGGATGATCACGTCTGTCACCTACTCAATATTGCCATGAAGAAAGTATTTTTAGAATTTTCGAAAAAACTTACCCAAAATAACAACAACAATAATAATAATAATGAATAATTAGATTACCCGTTGAAGATAAAGGCAAGCGCCGTTTGCAATGTGCACGTTGACTCCCCTGCCGTCGAGGGTGGTGTAGCTGCTGACGAGGAGGGGCTTGATGAGCTTTATGCTCATGTCCCGAGCGAACGTGACCCAAACTTTTCCCTTGATGCTTGTCACTGCGTATCTCAAAGTCCCGGGCCTTGGGTTTAACGAGTCGTCACTCGGGTCCGTGACTTTATAATTCGTCACGGCCCGCCCAATGTTATTGGTCATTTTTCCGGTGTAGCCAACCGAGCACGTTGCTAGCTGGTGACGATTGCGCCTCCAATTGGGGTTCGTACGCCAACATCGGTCGATCACGTTCATGACGTTGTTGTGGGGTTTGTGGGCCTCGGCAGGGCCCAAAATAGTTACGATGGCTATTGATATAGCCCAAACGAGGCACCATGACATCTTATGAGTCATGATTTTTAGAGATTTTTATTGATTATGTTGAATTAAAAAAATGGTTTGGTGAGTTGTGGTATGTAAGGGGATAAATTAATGGAGGTGGCAAAGCGCAAAAATGGGTAATGGAGCATG